ACAGACCTACTGTTCAAACTGACGTCAACCCTGCATATGACAGACCTACTGTTCAAACTGATGTCAACCCTGCATATGACAGACCTACTATTCAAACTGATGGCAACCCTGCATATGACAGACTTACTGTTCATACTGACATCAACCCTGCATATGACAGACCTACTGTTCAGACTGACATCAACCCTGCATATGACAGACCTACTGTTCAAACTGATGTCAACCCTGCATATGACAGACCTACTGTTCAAACTGACGTCAACCCTGCATATGACAGACCTACTGTTCAAACTGATGTCAACCCTGCATATGACAGACCTACTATTCAAACTGATGGCAACCCTGCATATGACAGACTTACTGTTCATACTGACATCAACCCTGCATATGACAGACCTACTGTTCAGACTGATGTCAACCCTGCATATGACAGACCTACTATTCAAACTGATGTCAACCCTGCATATGACAGACCTACTGTTCAAACTGATGTCAATCCAGCATATGACAGACCTACTGTTCAAATTGATGTCAACCCAGCATATGACAGACCTATTGTTCAAACTGACGTCAACCCTGCATATGACAGACCTACTATTCAAACTGATGGCAACCCTGCATATGACAGACCTACTGTTCAGACTGATGTCAACCCTGCATATGACAGACCTACTGTTCAAACTGACGTCAACCCTGCATATGACAGACCTACTGTTCAGACTGACATCAACCCTGCATATGACAGACCTACTGTTCAAACTGACGTCAACCCTGCATATGACAGACCTAGTGTGAAGTGACATAAAGATCACAATTAATTAACTCATTATAATTTTAATGGCATGTTAATCTACAAACAGATGATACAATAATTATTCATTATTGACAATAATAATAATAATAATAATAATAATAATAATAATGGTGAAATATAATTATAGCGTTGCTAATATACAGCAGTTGGAGTGGTCTAATAATTCAAGCAAGAGAGTTGCTTCCTAATAATAATAATCTGTCCATTTGTTCAATAAGTGTTCTCACTACAGTGCTACGTTGGAGCAGGAACGAAGTCACGTGACCACCATCAATGTACCTGACATTACAACCTATGGAAAAATAAAATTATTAAAATTATTATTCCAGTACTGTCCATATACATGTACATGTGCCATGAAATTTTGTATGTGACAAGAATTTTTCGCAAATCCTGCAATTCTACAATTTTGTGAAATAAATTTTCGCAAACAGCTTGCAGCCTACACCACATGGCAATGGAAATTCAGAATTAATTTTTGTGGTGAAAAAATTTCCCAAAGGAAAAAGAAACCACAAAATCCGCAAAAACATTTCACAGCAAACATAAACAGGTATACAGTACATTCTAAGCATTATAATTATTCTGTTACATTAAGGATAGGCACAAGAAAATAAGTACATGTGCATGATACATAAATCTCATTATTTATGTTTTGTTTTACATTTTTACTGTATACTTGTATTCACATTAAAATAAACATGCGTGTAAGCCGGAAGCAAATAAATGCCTGGTAGTGGATAGCAATAAAATTGAGCTATAAATATGCAAATCTAGCATAGAAATAACACATAAGCCTTGTAGATGTACTGCCTTAGGTTCTTGAACTAGTATGCATGAGGGCAATTGTTGGAATCCCACTATTAGCCCAAGTTTCATAAAAATTTTTCAAGGTTCAAATACCGTATAGCGTCAAATTTTCGTGAGTGAATTTTTTGGTGATTTCATACATTTTTGCTTTCAAGTAAATTTTCGTTAAAAAATTTTCGTGATTAAAATAAAATTTCGTGATGATTAAAACCACTCCTATCCATGTGGCCGCGCGCGCGCTAGTAGCTAGCCTTCCAGCTGGACTTGGAGAAGAAGCAACATGAGTGGTAGCATTATTCGATATTAATTCCCTTCGTGTATCCGTGGCTATCACGTATACCAAGAAAGGTGGGCTCCCTTTATAAGAGAGACTCTTAGCTGTGCAGCCTGTGCCTGAGAAACAAATAAAAGGCGTGATGGGACACGCCCACATTTATATCAAAATTAAATTTCGTGAAAAATATTTTCGTGATTGTCCATTCAGTCACGAAAATCACGAAAATTTTCAACCACGAAAATTTGACGCTATACGGTACCATTTTAAGAAATAGACATCCAGGCTTTTATTTAAGGAAAATATGGTATATGTACCGTATGTAGTGCTAACCTGGCCAGACTTCTCTCATGTCCTCCACAGTGTGGTGTGGCATGTAGAGGTCATCATTAGCTGGTAGGAAAGTCAATAGTTCCGGGGCAATCGGCTTTGGGTAGTTATGGAAATGAGTTGAAAAATCCATCACATGTTTCAACAGCTGCAGCGCCTCCGGCCTTGGTTCTTTCTTTCTCTCTTGAGCGCTTTTATTTTGAAATGGGTATTTCAAAATGCTACCAAGTTTATTCTTTTTGTCATCCTTGGTGCTTTCTCTCTCTTCTTTTTTACTCTCTTTGCTTCGGTATTGTTCAGTGATTGTTCTTAAATCAGGCTGAGAGTAGTGAGACAGTATCAAGTTAAATATGTTGAGTCTTCTCTCGTCGTTTCCAAGCAGACAAGACAAGATCTCTTTTTCTAACGGCTCCCAGCAAACTGATGATTTAAAGGTACCCTAAAAGGAAAGAATGATTTTTAAAAAGGAATAATAATAATAATAATAATAATAATAATAATAACAATAATCATCCTATTTTCATTTTTCATCCTGTCCTAACTTTTTCCTAATTCTAACTTTCCTTCATTAAATAAAAATAAAAATAAAAAAAATAATAATAATCTCTTTCAGGTGGGAGGGTTTAATAAGCTTTATTAAGCTACATAAATACTATATACTACAGTATATGTTCTGTATAATAATATTTACTTGCCAATTTTTAAATCAGACACACACACAAGTACACTGTATACATGTGAGTATTTATAAAGTTTTTTCACTTATACATGTACATGTACAGTGTACATGTAATGGTTACCTCAGTGAAGACACACGAAGCAGTGACAAGTGATAGACATGGAACAGCTACCACTGGTTTAGACCAAAGACTAGCACTCAGGGAACAATTCTATGATAGAAGAGAAACACAATACAACTAAGCATTAACAACAATTATCAAGCATAATGTACTGTACATGATACACTGTACAATAGGAAACAATTACTGCTAAGTGAGCTACATGTACAAGTACATGTAAAAGCATGCTTCATGAGTCTTATCCCAGCAATTGAGGATAAAATACCCTGTACTATAAACAGGGTCTTTGACCAGAGTTTTTAACAACTTAAAAATTCACCAACAAAGGCTGAACACTTGCTAAATCCTGTAGGAAATCCTTAAGAACTGTTCTTTTTTACTACAGCATGGATATACTGTACATGTACATGTACAGTATTATAAAAGCATACATGTAATGTACATGTATGTGTAAATGTAGCACTAATTGCATGAATTAACAATAAGGGAATCTCACGTGGCCTCCCATAGAAATGCCAGTGAGTCCAACTGGTCCAATCCCCTGAGACTCCAACCAACTGTTAAGTATAATGCTTTCGTGAATGAGCGCCAGACCCATTGAAAACAAATCAGTTACATAATGTAACTGGGACCTCCTACAGGGGGACAAGAATTATTAATGAATTCCCATGTACATGTACATGTACATTATAAAATCTTTAACTTTAAGTGTCAAAAACATAGATTACATGTACATGTACATATAAAGTACTTACGTTTGAACTCTTGGCTTTCTATGACCATCTGATAATAAGGAATAAATAAATTAATTTTTTAAAATGATATTGTTAAGAAAATTAAATTATTAAAGTCTATTAAGCTATTAAGCACAAGTACATGTACTGTTGTACTGTAGAGCTTTAAAAGGATACAAAAAGGGTTTTCCAAAATGAGAGATCCTATCCCTCCTGATTTCAAGAGAGGGAAAGCATAGAGATACCGTCTCCTCCAATAATACTAATAACAATAAATTAATAATTACATGTCATTAATAATAAATATTAATAAAACATTAACAAGGTCACATGATTCTCACATGATCTCCAGTACCAGCCATGTGTATGTAAACTGGTTTGGAATCACTACTCCTCCACTTCTTAGGAATTAACAATTCAAATCTACATAAAAGAAATAATACATGTACATGTAGCATAAGGACAACAGAAAATGTAATAAAAATTTGGGGTGATTTTGGAGCCATTTTTTGAAAAAACCATGGGCTATAGCCTTGGGTAATTTTCAGAATTTTGGAGTTTTCTTAAAATGGCCATAACTTGAAAAATTGAAGTCGGAATCAGTTCAAACTTTCTACAAAGCATAAGGACATCAATATGTATCAGAAAATGTAATAAAAAGTTGGGGTGATTTCGGAGCTGTTTTTTGAAAAAAACCATGGGCCATAGCCTTGGGTATTTTTCAGAATTTAGGCGTTTTCTTAAAATGGCCATAACTTGAAAAATTGAAGTCGGAATCAGCTCAAACTTTGTACACAGCATGAGGACATCAATATGTATCAGAAAATGTAATAAAAATTGGGGGTGATTTCAGAACCATTTTTTGGAAAAAAACCATGGGCTATAGCCTTGGGTATTTTTCAGAATTTTAGCGTTTTAGTAAATGGCCGTAACTTGAAAAATTGAAGTCGAAATCAGCTCAAACTTTCTACACAGCATAAGGACATCAATATGTATCAGAAAATGTAATAAAAATTGGGGGTGATTTCGGAGCCATTTTTTGGAAAAAACCATGGGCTATAGCCTTGGGTAATTTCAGAATTTTGGCGTTTTCTTAAAATGGCCATAACTTGAAAAATTAAAGTTGGAATCACCTCAAACTTTCTACACAGCATAAGGACATCAATATGTATCAGAAAATGTAATAAAAATTTGGGGTGATTTTGGAGCAATTTAAAAAAAAAAACCATGGGCTATATATAGCCTTGGGTATTTTTCAGAATTTAGGCGTTTTCTTAAAATGGCCGTAACTTGAAAAATTGAAGTTGGAATCAGCTCAAACTTTCTACACAGCATAAGGACATCAATATGTATCAAAAAATGTAATAAAAATTTGGGGTGATTTTGGAGCCATTTTTTCAAAAAACCATGGGCTATAGCCTTGGGTATTTTTTGGGATTTTGGCCTTTTCTTAAAATGGTTGTAACTTGGAAAATTGAAGTCGGAATCAGCTCAAACTTGCTACACAGTATAAGGACATCAATATGTATCGAAAAATGTAATAAAAATTTGGGGTGATTTCGGAGCCATTTTTTGGAAAAAATCATGGGCTATAGCCTTGGGTATTTTTCAGAATTTTGGCGTTTTCTTAAAATGGCCGTAATTTGAAAAATTGAAGTCGGAATCACCTCAAACTTTCTACACAGCATAAGGATATCAATATGTATCAGAAAATGTAATAAAAATTTGGGGTGATTTCGGAGCCATTTTTTGGAAAAAGCCATGGGCTATAGCCTCGGGTATTTTTTGGAATTTTGGCATTTTCTTAAAATGGCCGTAACTTGGAAAATTGAAGTCGGAATCAGCTCAAACTTCTACACAGCATGATGACATCAATATGTATCAAAAAATGTAACAAAAATTTGGGGTGATTTTGGTGCCATTTTTTCAAAAAACCATGGGCTATAGCCTTGGGTATTTTTGGGATTTTGGCCTTTTCTTAAAATGGTTGTTAAAATGGTTGTAACTTTAGAAATTGAAGTCGGAATCAGTTAAGGACATCAATATGTATCAGAAAATGTAATAAAAATTTGAGGTGATTTTGGAGCCAATTTTTCAAAAAAACCATGGGCTATAGCCTTGGGTATTCAATAGATGTACAATGTATGCTTCCTTTTCTTTTCCTCACCTAGCCATTTCAGCTTCTTCTGGGAGGACTCCGGGCAACAAGGTTGCAAGAGGAGAAAGGAAAGTACCTTCATACATAGTACCTTCAGAATTATCGGCCATCTGTACATTTTAATAAAAATATTATCATATTATTGTGGAAATATTTTTATTATTGGGTCCAGTAGCTAGACCTGTAAATTTACTTTTTTGGTTTTTATAGGGTGGCTGTGATCCTTTATATCCTCGTGCAATTTTGTCCTACTAAGATTCGTTATAACACCAGCTAGGCTACAGAAACGAAAACACAAAAGTAGGAAAAATAGACAGAAAAACACAGTTCGCAATACTGAATATATTAATACAGTATGCTGGCCTTCCTTAAAAACTTTATTTACCTTTCCATTGTATCTATCGGCCCCCATCCCCTAGAAAAGAACTTTATGTTAGAAAATAGACTCCTATAAATCCTGTCACCGGCCGCCATTTTAAAGCACACCCTTTAACCCACGCCCCCAAATTCAATTAGTCTAACAACCGTAAACTTTCCGTATACTTTTCTAATTTTTAAAACCAATAACCAGCCCCACCCTCCTTTTCTGCAAACTGAGAATGAGCTCTGATGCTGGAAAGCAAGAAAAAGGAAACATTATTACAAGCGAGGGAGCTGTGATTGGCGTTAAGAACAAAGTAAGGGACGGCCTCGCTGCTTTTGAAGGAAAAGAAGCAACGCAATGGGTAAGTAAGAGCTAAAAAAGAACTTCCTTCATTGCAATACACTTCATTTCTCCTATTTGGAATAGATGCAGATGGAGGAAAGCAAGATAATAGTATACACTACTAGTTTCAGCGGAGTGAGGAGAGCACATGAAGACTGCAAGTACATTCTTGGCATATTTCACAACCACAGAGTTAAAGTTGAAGAGAGAGATGTTTATGCCAGCGAGAGCTATCATCGTGAATTAGAGGAAAGGCTTAAAGGGGCTGACTTTACTCTGCCTCAAGTATTCATTAATGGACAACATATAGGAGTAAATACACATAATAATGTGCAATAATACACAACACAGTTTTAGTACATAAAAATTAAAATATGCACAATTATTTTTCTAAAGCATAAGATTTAAGATACATGGTATAATAGTTTTTGTGAATCCTATAGGATAAGGAGATGGTCGATGAACTAAATGAAATAGGAGAGCTAAAGAAAATGCTTCAAGAGTTCCCAGTTAGCTTTTAATAATCTTTTTGAATTTAATACTCTGCCCTTGTCTTTTTTTAGAAAATTAATACTTCCATAACATGTCAAATGTGCGGTGGTTATGACTTTATTCCCTGCATTAAATGTGGAGGGAGTAAGAACAGTGTCTTTAATAATTTCACTTCAGAGTTCCGTGCACTTAAATGCACAGCATGTGATGAGAATGGCCTACAGCCTTGCCCTCATTGCAAGAGCTAATGACATCATCAATTTATACTCTGTTTTGTATCAATGAATTTCACACACTCAATTTAATGCATGCAGAAATTAGTGTAGATTTATAGTAAAACATTAGAACATGAACACATCATCCTTTACCATTCCGTTTACCAAGATCCATCCTTTGGATTTTGGCACATGATCTACAAAAGAATGACTAACTGGTCTAAATTGATAATTTTTATTATTTTTTCAAATTTTATTCTTACAAAAATGACAAGTGCATGTAATCTATTATTTGTTTGTAGTTTGAATGTACAAGTCAATGATGTCATATATAGAATCATACTGCTCCTGTAAAACAAAAAACAACAAATTATAAATCCATGCTTGATTCATCACATACCGGTGTAGTGACAGCTCCTGGTTTACTTCTTCTGACAGTTTTAGTTACTTGAAATACATCCACTACACCTTCTTTTATACACTGCTCTAGAGCAATACTCACTGAACAATAGACTCCTGAACGACTCACTGTATCACTACACACACACACATCAAAATTTTACTAAAATTCATGATTATTATTTCTCTTTACCTACAATGTACCACTACTGGTCCTCTCTTTTGTCTGTTTCTCACTTCATTAATTACTTGTAGAATGGTACCAGCTTTTCTAACAACTCCATCTTGAGGCCAATCTGTCACTTGTAATTTTAATACACTTCTGCTCTCTTTATCAAAGGATAATTTAAGATTTCTTTCTGTATAACCATTTGCACTTCTTTCATTATTGACTTCCACAGAAAATTCACCATGTGTCTTTGAGCCAGTCCAATATTGATAGCAGCAATCCTACAAGCTTATAATAGGATTATACTAGTTCAGTAATGTAATACTTCATCTCCACACAGCATGACAATAGTAGACACTTTATAATCTACTATCATTTTCCAAAAGTCTCTCATAGTGTTTTCCATAGGACTTTGAGCTATAATGAATTCTTTTTTCCCTTGATAGCCCTAATATGAGTGAACAGTAATAATAATAATAATACAACATGTTATAGTATGTAGCATTCAAAAAACTTCAAAACTTCACAAAAGTTCGGAAATTTTTTGAGCAGCTTCAAAAATTTGTAAAAATCCAAATTTTTATAGAATGATTTCAAAATTGTTAAACATTACAAGTACAAGCTTAGAAAAATTAGAAAAGTGAAAAATTTTCTACTTCTTAGTTTTCAAAATTTACCCAAACCACCACCATGTACTATATTACAGGAACTTTTCACCACCTTTAAAAATTTGTAAAAAAATGATTTCACTAAGTACATGTACATGTGTACTTGCATTAACAAATTCTTGTTGAGATTTTTCTGAAAAAACCAAAATGATAGTTTTTTGATAATCCCATTATAAGTGATAATAATAACTACACTACATTGTGACTAACATTAAGGTATGATGCATTTATGTAATCATCATTGGTATCTTTAAGAGCTACAATATACTTGTCAGCTAAGGTAAACAACAGATTACAATTATTTCATTAATCATGATGCTCTCACGAGGTAGGTAATTATTTGACCTGTTCTTGTTACTATGAGCATTAGCAGATTTACACTCTACGTCATTAGGATCAGGAGTCAATTCACACAATAAATGATATTGTGCTTCAATTCCTGTACAATTAATGCTTGGATCATTCTTTTTTAGTTTCTGTATTTCCATGATGTAGTTCTCAATTAATATCTCAGTCTTTCCACAAATGATTTCCTCAAACACAGCATCATGAAGAAACACATACTGATCCTGTACAATTATTGTGACAATGTAATGTTTTAATAATTAATTGTCCTTACTAGTGACTGAACCATCTTCATTCTCTGTTGTCTAAGTCTATTAACAATACCAGCAAAGTCTATCACTCCCTCTTTTTTGGCTTGTTCTAGAGCCAAGTCTATAGCAATAAATATACCAGTACGGCCTATACCAGCACTACAGTGGACCAGAATGGGGCCTTGTGAAGGAAACCAGGTTTTCATGACTCTTTTATATAGAGTCATCAATGAGGTAGCATAGTCAGGTACTCCTTGATCAGGCCATGTGGTTAAATGATATTGAGTCAGTGTATGACTATCATTTGATCCATCTTGTATCTGTATTGTGTACATTATATCATGTTAACTTTTTCACTTACTGTTATACAAAGTTGACGAATAACAAAGTCAGGGTAAGTGTCTGTATTTTTTAACAATACAGTGAATGGTCCAAACTTCTCTTGCTCAGTTACAGAGTTTGGCCAGTACTGTCTGCACTTGCTTTTTCCTCCTTCCTTCAGTTTGGTTAGCATCACAATATACACTGGCCTTTCCTGCCAGATGAGATACCAGAAATCAACTGATGTGTTCTTCATAGGACCTTATACATGTAGGTTAAAATAACAACAGTGTAGAACTGCTTGTATACAAGGATACCTTGTGTTGTAATGTATTTCTTACTACTACTGTATCCCTGCAATAGCAATTAAGATAATTTCTTATAATAAAACTTACATCAACATAATTAGCATTAATAAATTCCCTTTGACACATATCCAAGTTAGGATTAGTATCCAGTAATATCCTGTTATCATCATCTGATGAATAAAGAAAACATTATTCTGTAATAATACATGTACTGTACATGTACATACAAACTGTCACATTCTTTAATCTGTTCAAAGGTTTGTTTTCTTCACTGTATCCAACAGTACATGGCTTTTCCTCACCACTGTAGAGATTCTACATGCACATAATCATCTTTACATGCAACCTTCAATAGGTACTTTGAATTGTCTTTCAAATCCATTGCTATTATGGCAACTATCTAAATGTATAGCCAAATCCTCCAGTGGTATAGGTAGAGTAGGAAGAATCTGTGGATCAAAGTCACTGTAGACACCAAGATAAGACAGAACAGTCTCTACATCTGTCTCTTCGGCTTGTAAGATTGATCCTCCTTGAGTTTATCATCATAATTATTAAAAAAACCAAAAAATAAGGGTATCATTCACCTTGACTTCCTGATGTTACTTCCTTAATGTAGTGTGTTCTGGTCCTTGTTAATCTTGTCCTTTCGATACAATAAAATTATTGGACAATAATTAAAGCTATACATACAGTTTTTAACATACTTTACATAAATAGCTGTGATAGTGATCACTAGAAGTATCATCAATATTGAAAACCCAGTAATTGCTGACGCAGCTGCAAATGTAGCAGAAGTATCTGCATAAATATTCAATTAATTTAGTAGGGAAAATTAATTGATAAAGCTTACATTTAGACTTTACACTATCTACATTTTTGAATAGGAAACAGATGTTATGACAAAATTACAGCAATAATTATACCTAAAGTTGGTGTTGCTGAACCTGATGCAGACACAGGTTGATGTACATATAGCAGTGAACTAGAAGAGACTTGTGTAACTAGAAATATACATGTTGCAGTAAAATTAATATTGTGGTATCAAACTTGGTATGCTTTGTAAGAGCAGGGCAAGACTATATTAATTCATATTGCACCTTCTTGCTGGCATAGTATAGTTTCAGGGTCTTATTAGTAATAACTATACTTGGTAAGGTTTGTACTGTGATTGTACTGCTAGGAGGTCCCACTAATTTTTGATATGCTCTGATTGTGATGCTATAAGTTGTTCCTCTTTGTAGCCCATTCACTGTAAATGCAGTGTTACTACTTCCTTCTACTTGTACTCTCTGCACAGTATCAGTATCATTAGTAACATAGACTACATATCCATCAGCATCTGATGAATCAAGTGGAGTCCAATGGAGACTGACTGTCATATCAGTTTTACTGACAATAATAACAGAAGAAGGGGCAGATTTTGGAACTGAGAATGATGTAAGTAATTATTATGAACTTTAGCACATACAATACCTGCCACTGTGTGATATCTGTTTCTTTTGATATTATCGTCATTATATCCATAATGTAAGTAAAATCTAAACACATGATCCCCATTGTTGTTTAATTGACTCAGTATTCCACTAGTAATACTCTCTCCATTCCAAGTAACAGTTAGAGTATAATCATATGATCCATTACTCTGGTGTAGTAATACTCCATTACCAATGCTACAATTGTATCCAGACTGTCCACTGCAGAGACCAGTAGTTATTTCAGTACTATCACTACCAGACTCATAGTACCAAGTAGCATTGTTCAATAATACATTATCTTTATGACCAACTTTGATTGCATGTAGTGTGTATGTTTGTGGAAGAAGTTTAATATCCAAAGGAAGATCAACTGTGATACCTGTTATCTCAACCCATCCTAAAGTGAATCAGCAAATTGTCAATTACGAGCACATTCAGTGAAAATATACTTCCTCCCCAAGGTCAAAAAGGGGAGGAGTCTGGCTACGCGAGACTAAAATATTAACTTACTGTATATTTTAAAGCTGATGATGTATGCATCAGGATCTGAACAATTAGTGGGTAGACAACACCTATACCATCCTTCACCAGATGTCAGAATGTTGTTTGTGGATTGTATACTAATAGTAATATTAGCACCTGACCCAACAGCACACTCTAAATTTGAATTACTACCAGGACAAGGAACAGCTCCATTAGGACCAATCAATTCTCCACCATCTGCCCCATAACCAGGTAATCCACACTCTAACAAATTTGATCTGATCTCAATATCTTGAAAATAAGTATTATTAGAAATATTACATAATGAACCCTGCATCAGGTATATACCACCTACAGAAACAGAGTGGTAGATTCATCCATAGATATTTATGAATTTCATCAGTATTATACCTTCTGTGGTCAGCAAGACTTACCTGAGGTTGGTGGGCATGTACTAGCACCAATATCTATGTTCAAGCTCAAGAAGGCAACAGACAGCAGCAGCAGTGACACTGCAAGCATGTTAAGATGTTATAGGAATAATTATAGTTTTTTCAATGCTAATAATACAGCATATGTTACCATAGAAATGCAATTAATTAATTAATTAGCTTAATAATGTTTAATTTGTTAATAATTGATGGGCGTGTCTGTATCACGTGAAAATTTGAGCCGCGCCCCTTAACGAAGTTGACTTGAAGTTCTAAAGCTGTGACTATAGACCCTGATTTGAACTAGCTTCAGAAGTAAAGAACAAATAGAGAAGGATATCTTATTATATCTTATTTCTTTTCAGGAAGGAGGAGCGGGAGCGAAGAACTATTATAGACGCCATTTAAAACATGGCTGATATTGAAAATGGAGGAGGAGAGAAACCTGAGAAGGAGTCCATCATTATTAATTCATTCACCAAGTCATTTAAGAAGATACTCGAGAGAGACTTTGATGAAGAATTTACCAAGGAGTTAGTATATAATAAACATGTATTAGAATTACTTTTCATTATGGGTATTAGGTAGTCATGTACATATACATTGTATGGGCTAAAGTCCCTGTACTATAGTACAGGAACTTTGGCTGAATTTTGCCAAAAATGAAAAGGAAAGAATTCTTCATTTTTATTACACTTTTTAATACGTATGCATGTACTTATGTTGTGTAGAAAGTTTGATGTTATTCCAATGAAAATTGGATTTTTATTACTTTTTAAATTGCTCAAAAATTTGGCCAAAGTCCCTGTACTATAGTACAGGGTCATCGGCAAATTTCATCAAAATTGGCTAGGAGAGAATTCTTCATTTTTATTAGATTTTCAGATACATATACATGTACTTATCTTATGTAGAAAGTTTGAGCTTATTCTGATCAAAATTAGATTTTTTATGAATTTTAAAAGTATTATTCCGAAATCTGAATACACGTATAAAAAGGTTTAATTCTCAGCAAATGAAGCTCATGCTTTTTAGCTCATTTAGCATCCTTTGTGGGAAATCCTTATATAGTAATCACAAGTATGTGTATGCCTACCTGTATTATTGTTGCTGCATTTTTACTGCATTTTTACATGTATCTAGTGAATGTACTTGTGTATTTATACATGTACTTGCATATTACAATGCACTATGTGCAATTATCCATTGACCTGTGTATTTTATGCATTTCCTTCTCCCTCTCTAGTTCTGTTGATAAATTGAAAAAGACAAAAAAGAAAAAGAAGAAGGATGCTAATAAGAAAGAAGTAAGTG